ATACTAATCATTTTTAAATAAATGGTCATTATTTTCTGACGCATTTTGTCAACTATAAAGTTCACGTTTATGCTAAACTTATTCATTGCAAAACATCACCAGCAGGGCGAACGGTATAAACACGATGTTTAATAATTCTACTCTCAACTCTACTCGTCTTGGTATCCCTGTTCCTTACTACGACTTGCTCTAATTGTTAAAGAAGATCATTTCAAATACTCATTATTTATTCACGAGGTATCTAGCCAATCCTTGTTCGTAATTCATACCACGTGCAGTAACTGGAAATCGGAGGAAGTTACTAGGCGTGCTGAATTAATTTTGATCCAGTTACTCCGTACTGAATTAATTTTGTTCCAGTTACTCTGTACTGAATTAATTTTGATCCAGTTACTCTGTACTGAATTAATTTTGTTCCAGTTACTCCGTACTGAATTAATTTTGTTCCAGTTACTCTGTACTAAATTAATTTTGTTCCAGTTACTCCAAGCTGATTTAATTTCTCAGATAATTTCAAAGTCCAAGTTATTGAAGTTCTTTTAAACAAGTAGAAATAGTAAACTAAGTTTAGAATTTAGTGAAAAAATTCTATGATAAATTTCATCTTGAGATTCGAACTCCCAACCTTCTGATCTATGCCCTCCCCTTTAAACCATTACACCACTCACTATCCGATGAAAAATCTCGGAAGATAAAATGATTTTAAATGTTATGAATAAGTTCATTAGGATTAAAGTAAATAGCAGACAGGGAATTTGAATAGCTTTTGTTTCAAATGCCCAAATGGGGATTGAAGAACAATAAATAGTGCTCAATGATGTAAATATGAAATCCTGCATGAAGGAGCAAATATAACCARTATATTCCTAYAGACTTTYAATATTTTTCGGCCCTTTTCTCCTCCCGAATAATTAATGAKKATTTGAAGTCDTTCCAAGTCCTCCAATTCGGACTGGACAGGATTTCAAGTCCTTGCAATTAGTTCCAGTCCTCGGCTGCGCCTCGGACTGGAACTAATTGCGTGGACTTGAGATCGCGTCGAGTCCTCATTGTCGGACTTGAAACATTACTTTAAATATGGTCTTTATGATTCAAATATACAAAACTAGCCGACAATGTTGTTCTTCTGTAGAACTCCTCAGGGTATTTAAGATGTCATTCATTGCTAATTTCATTATTTTCTGACGGATTTTGTCAACGATAAAGTTGACAAAATGCGTTTATGCTAACCTTATTCATTGCAAAACATCACAAGCAGGGCGAACGGTATAAACACGATGTTTAATAATTCTACTGTCAACTCTACTCGTCCTGGTATCCCTGTTCCTTACTACGGCAAGATACCATGGACTGCTGCCTTTTCTCTTGAATTTGTTATGGCCATGATGGGAAACTTCCTTATAGTGTGGATAGTTTTTAGGGACAGTCGGTTGAGAAGCACCACGAATTACTTGATAACCAACATGGCGGTCAGTGATCTTATTGCAGCTCTCTTTGTCTTTCCATGGATGCTAGTGCTCCTTAACTTTGACGGACAATGGCTGATTGGTGGGGTTATTGGTAATGCACTGTGCAAGCTAACTGTCTTTACAGTAGAAATGTCCTTCGGTGTGTCTGCTTATAGCTGTGTTGGCATTTCCATTGACCGGTATTTCGCCGTAGCCTATCAATTCAAGAGACCTTTCCAGGACAAGATGAAAAAGGTCATTGCAGTAATTTGGATTGTTGCAGTCGTGATCTGTTCGCCAGAGTTGTACTTTTTAAATGCACGTCAATCTGGCAACGCATTTTATTGTAGTGTACATAGGAAGGACAAGTCATCATTCTTTTCTTACCATTATATATTGGAAGGTTTGACCACCATTTTGCCAGTACTGTTCATGACAATAACCTACACTCTCACCATCTGCAAACTTTATCATCGCAAAGTACCAGGATTGTTAACATCAGAACGAAGAAGAAGAAAGCAGCAGAATAAAAAAGTGTTAAAACATGCCGTGACAATTGTTGTTTTGCTTTATCTTTGTCATGGTTTTCTTTTCACTATTGTTATGTTGAATTCCCAAAGAAAGTTGGTCCATCTCTCGGACTCATCGTATGACAGCTTGACAGATGCCTCACTTTTCATTTTATACCTCAGTCTCGTGTATAACTTCTTCATCTACCTCATATTCAATGATATTTACCGTGAGAATATCAAAGCTCTGATACCCAAGTGTTGCTGTCGATACGATGCTAACATGAGGCAGGAAAGACCANGAGATGAATTAAAGACAAGAAAAATAGAAAGAAGGAATGAGAAAGAACAATACAAAATTAAGCACCCAAAAGAGAAAGAAACACTGAACATTTAAGAGCAATGTATTGATGTACATTCAAGTGGATTTTATTGGGTTTGTGAAATCTACCAAAAACTAAAAAATTATGATATTTCTTCACTAATGATTTTGACTGAATACTCAGTCGTGAACTATAACATGCAAACTCATGTTAGTATCTTATTGAACTGACAGAACCTGTATGTCCACAACCAGCTGCTTACTGAATTGTATAGAAACAATAAGGCAGTATAAGGGTTGAAGACTGAAATAATCCTGGCACTAGATTATAGACTAATTCATGAACACATACAAATTATGAGTTACAAAATAGTAATATTATATATTAGAAAATATGTTCAATAGCAGTCTCTTTTTTATTTTCTTTAATGCTGTTCGTTGCCCATTAATATGACATATTAATGTGGATGCCATGTTTGTTGTATGAAAAGTGACTACATATTATATTTTGGATTTATAGAAGGTGGTGTATTTGTTAGTTGTGTTTAAGTTAGAGGATTCCACATGAGTTTTTGTAAAGTTTGGTGTAGTTTTGTTTTTCTTCCGAATTTACATTCATTAAATTACAAGATGTCAAAGAGCATCAGTATTTGAGGAGAATTAAACAGAGTATATATAGTTAAAATGCGATAATTTTTGTTAATTTATACACCTTATTCCAAAATGGCTGACTAGCCCTTGATGTCTCGTTTTCATGAAATTGTTCTTTTCTTTTAAAGTCACTCAAGCTCAAAGACAAAAGAATAATTTTATGAAAACGAGACATCAAGGGCTAGTCAGCCATTTTGGAATAATGTGTATGAGAACATAAGTGTGCAAGATTGTAAATAATAAAATTGTTTAAACATCGAACAAATGTTAAGTTAAAATAATGACACCAGCAGTTTTGAACTAACTGATGTATTAGTATAAAAGCCATTTCTTTCTAGTCAGTACATTTCCATGTATTTTCCCATATCGCTTGGTAGTAAATTAATGTTTGATTATTATGTAAAGTTTAAAAGATAGAAACATAGAATAAGACAAAAATAAATTTAAAAGCAAAGTACTATTTTTTGTGGTGTTCAGTTTGTGATTTATGTCATTGTTTATTCAAGTTCATGAACAAATAATTTCAGAATAATTGTGGACTTTGGTCGAGTACTATCAAGCCATAGTGAATTCAGAATCGTGCTCTAATTGTTAAATACACAATGATTTTCTAATATGCAAATTAGCACACTGTTGTACATCAGTAGACATCTGCAGGTTTTTATAATTGTCAAATATTTCTTTTTCACTTTTGCAAGTAGTATAGCCCTGTCAATTTAAGACATCGGGTAATTACAGTTCATAGCTGTTTTAAACATAGTAACGATATTTTGATATTCTAGTTCATCATCTTATTATTACAAGATACTGTCTGTTTGCCAGTGCTAGAGCCCTGCTAACTGCTAAACTGTTTTATTGAATTACATAGTAAGACCAAAACGTTCAGAAAATAGAGTAAAGACATGGAAATTAATATGTGTTTTGGATTTTACGCAAGATCACAAAACGTCTTCCTTGGACAGTAAGAATTCTGACGACTTTCGGACTTCTTCTCTATTGACAGCTAATCAATACAGGGGCGTTTCGAACTGAAATTTGTTATGTATCTATGAAACAAATATTGTCGTCCCAAACACGTTTTTCTATGATTGTTATGTTAATTACTTGGGAAAACTAGAACAATTGAAATGCAGTCGAAGCTCTTCTTACTGACGCCCCCGTAAGCGGACAGTTCTACTTACGGACAGCTTTTCAAAACCCCGGTTTTCCTCCCATACAAACACTGTATTTGTACTTTCTATTGAGCGGTCTTTCTTGTAAGCGGACGCGGACACTTTCAGCAATTCCCAAATGACGTTTTTATTGTTTTCAATTTCTCGTAAGCAAACACTTAAAATCTATAACTTTTATTTGGTCTATTTCTAAAATTAATTATAACTTATCAGTTTAACCAGCTTGTGAATGATAATGAACTAATTATACATGGAGCTGAATTACGCGTTATAGCCTTCTTTATGTATTTTGGATTTGAGCCATTTTATCGAAAATTCATCTCCGTACTCCGATAAAGTTTTTTGAATTTATTAGCTTGCTCCTTGTTTGTTCAGGGACACCGCAACAGCTTGCGCCAATTACTGCGGACCGTGTACTCTCACACTCACTACCTCTACATTAAGTATTTTAGCACACAACACTCCTCACATGTTGATTTTTACTGAGGGTGGAAAACCGGAGGACCCGGAGAAAAACCCTTTTGGCAAGGCAGAGAACAACACATCAAACAAACTCAAACTCACATATGGTCCGTGCCCGGGAATTGAAACTGGACCACAGCGGCGAGAGTCCAGTAGATTAACCACTAGGCCATCCGTGCCACCCACCAGAATCACATGGCACTTCTAGTCCAAAACATTCTCCTCTGTTAGTTAGTGCGCTTTCACGTTATAACAACCTTTGCAGTGTTGGTCGCTCTTTTGAAAAACTTTGTCAGCCAAAAGGCCATAGCTGGTGGTCTATAGGGCTACACCTAAATATTAAACAAGAATATCTGACGTTGATTAACCATTTAAACATCCCTTTTTATTAGACGGACATCTCTACTTGCGGACACATTTTTCGTTTTCCAAGAGTGTCCGCTTACGGGAGATTCGAGTGTACGGGTTAGAAATGATTAGGACAAAAATATGCATTTCTTCATTAAGGACATCAATTCATGACAAATTTCA